GGGATACCACCACCGAGGTCGGGCTCGCCAACTTTGCCTGGGCGACCGTCGCACTCCTCCGCAGAACCTCATCACCCAGGTAACCTGGTCGACCGGGCAACCACGTCGACCAGCTGCCCCTGTATGTGCCCGTCGACCTCCCAAGTCGACGGCCACTCCAAGTCGACCTCACCAGGTCGACCACACCCCTGGTCGACCAGCTCCAGGTCTACCAGCACTCCTGGTCGGCCAGCTCCTCGTCGACCAGCGCAGTTGTCCGCCGACCTCCCAAGTCGGCAACCCGAAGTCGGCGTCACCAAGTTGACGCCCTGCTACTCGATGCCCAACTGCTCGGCGTCCTGAGTCAAGGACGACGCCGGCCCCTCCTTCGTCGACCACCAGGTCAGGTCGACCACCATCAGGTCGACCAGCAGGCCTGGTCGACCAACCACCAGGTCGACCAGCAGTTTGTCAGCCAACCACCCAAGTCGGCTGTCCCAAGTTGGCGTCACCAAGTTGACGCCCTCCGCAGGTCGGCTTCCCAGGTCGACCTCCCTGAAGTCGGCGCTACCTTGAAGTTGGCGCCCGTGCAGTGGTCCCCGTGCAGGTCGACCTCCTCGTCAACCAGCTCACCCACTGCTGCAGGTCGGTTGCTCCCCTCACACCCGACCACGAAGTCGGCCCGCCCAAGCGAGGACGGGGCCAACACACAACTCCCGTTGACATGCTGCTGGGCGCTGGCTGGAAGAAGAGCCAGGTCAAAACGTCGCTCTACTTCAAGGCCGGCGACGACGGGGTGACCTGCTGGGTGCTGGTCTACGTCGACGACTTGCTCGCCGCCAGCAGCACCATGATGCTGAAGGAGCTGAAGGAGCTAAAGGAGCTGCTGGAGGCCGCCTTCGAGCTGCGCGAGATCTCGCCGGTCATGAAGTACCTCGGGCTGGAGATTGTGCGCCACAGGCCAGCAAGGAAGCTGTGGCAGCACCAGCAGAACTACGCCGACAAACTGCGTAGGCGCTTCATCCACGAAGAGCAAGGCGGGCGCATCTCGAAGACGCAGGTCTCGGTCGACGCCTACGCCGAGCTGACATTCGACGACGAGGAGGCACAGGAGCGCGAGGAAGAGTAGTACCGGCAGAAGGTCGGCTCGCTGCAGTTCGCGGCGACGACGACGAGGCCGCGTCTACTCCAAAAACATGAAGGAGCATGTGGAGCATCTGCGTAAAGTCTTCGAAATCTTGCGGGAGAACAATTTCTACGTGAAGCTGTCAAAGAATGATATCGCCCTGAAGAAGGTGCAGTTTCTCGGGCACATGGTAGTGCGGAGGGCGTAGATGGGGACCCGCGAAAGATTGAAGCCGTCAAGAAGTGGAAAGTTCCGGAGAACGTGAAAGAGTTGCAGCAGTTCCTAGGCTTTGCCAACTACTACAACAGGTTCGTGCTAGAGTACGCTAAAATAGTGGCACCACTGACGAACTTACTGAAAAAGGATACACCCTATAAATGGGAAACTCCTCAACAGCAAGCCGTGGAGCAGCTACAGACCAGGCCACTACAGCGCCAGTACTCATCCTACCGGATCGAGACCGAGATTACGTGGTGGAAGCAAACGCTAGTGACCATGCAGTTAGAGCAGTACTGATGCAGGATCACGGACGCGGCTTGCAGCCCATCGCCTACCTCAGTAAGAAGCTACATGGAGCATAACTGAATTACCCAATCCATGACAAGGAAGCCTTAGTGATAGTCACAGCCTTTAAGGCATGGATGTGTTACCTAGAAGGAGCTTAGGCCATAGTTATGATCGTTCTCAGGATCACCTCAGAAAGGTTCGCACACTTCTAGTCTAGTGGTGGTGGGCCCTTGACCTCAATAGCAGAGTGTGCTGATATAAATGAAGGATTGTAGTGGATAGTATAAAGTTGCCAAGTGTAAAAGAGAACTGTGAAGTCTCAGTAATGACCTTGTTGATTGATTGAAAGAGAACAAGATAATTATAAAACAGAAGTACAGGGATATAAATAGCATTCCTAGCTAGCCATGTACTCTGAGGGGTACATTCCCTTACTAACTGTATTACATTGCTACAGTAAACCACGACTATTGCCATTCTAGACAGTTACCATGTTGCACTCCGCAACTGCCTCGTGCGGTTACCGGGTAGTCAAGGGCCACGACCGTTGACTGTCTTCGACTGTTGACCTTCGGGTGACCCTCGAACTTCCGCGTGCTCTATATGAGCTATTGCGGTACTAGTACAGGCGTGCACTTCGTTATGGAGTGATGCTACAGTGGAGAACCTTCGGGAATGTTTATAATAACCTTTCGGTTATTCCAACACTCCCCTTCATTCCTGAAGGTGGGCCACGTGGGACTTCTTGGTGATCCCGCAAAGGTTGGCGCAGTTCTCGAACTGTTGACGTGGCTGTTTCTTTGTCAGGAAGTCGGCTGCCATGTCTCCAGTCGAGCAGTACGTGAGCTTGACCTTGCCCTTGTCGATTTCGTCCTTGACGAAGAAGTAGCGAAGGGCGATGTGTTTCGTGCGGTTCACGAAGCCGGGCTTGTTTGCGATCTTGATCGCGCTCTGGTTGTCGCAGAGTAACGTGAAGTGCCCGTTCATCGTCACTTTCGCTTCCTGCAGAAGTTCCATCAGGTACAGTCCTTCGCGAACAGCTGCGCTGGCGGCGATGAATTCTGCTTCGGCTGACGAAAGGGCGATGAGTTCCTGCTTCTGAGAGTTCCATGAAATGAGCCCAGCAGGTTGAAGTTGAAAAATGAATCCTGTGCGGGAGCGTCTGTTGTCAACATCTCCTGCATGGTCAGCGTCTACGTAGCCGTGCAGCTGCAGAGTGGCCATTAAGTTAGCTTCGTAGGTGAGGCCGACGTCGGGAGTAGAGATGAAGTATTGGAGTGCGTGGCGTAGATCCTGTAGATTCTCCCCTTCGGGTCGCTTCATGTACTGAGCGAGCTGGCTTGTGACGTAGGAGAGGTCGGGCCGGCACGTGACGGTGGCGAACAGGAGGCACCCGAGCTGCTGCTGGTAGAGCCGATGATCTTCGAGAGAGAGAGAGGCGTGGTGTCTGGTTCGTGGTTAGGAGGAGGAGTGCGAAAGGGTGTGGAGAGGTTGATGGGTGCAATGCCGAATTTCTTCGCGAGTGTCTCGGCGTACTTAGCGGCGGAGAGATGAATGGAGGAGGCAGACTGGGTGATGTTGAGACCCAGGAATTGAGTGACGTCGTGGTTGATGGTGACTTCCAGCTGCTCCTTGATGTCTGCTTCGAACTAGTCCAGGAGCTCCACGCAGGCGACGAGGAGAATGAACTTGCCGCGCGACTCCTTCCTGTACATTCCGAGGTCGTGGGGCAGCTGTTGGAAGCCGAGGTTCGTTAGCACCGTGTGGAGGTACTGCTGCCACAGGCGAGGTGCTTGCTTGATCCCGTAAAGGGATTTCTAGAGCAGGCAGACGGCGCCGTCGTTCTCTTCGAAGGCATGCGGCTGCTCGACGAAGATAATTGCGTCGACCGGAGCGTACAAAAATGCGCTGCCGACGTCGATTTGTCGGAGTGGGCGCTGCTTGACGGCTGCGATGCAGATGAGAATTCGCACGGAGGTGTGCCGTCCGACTGGTGCGTAGGTGAGATCGAAATCCACCATGTATGTTTGCTCGAAGCCGCGCACCACCCATCGCACTTTGTATTTGTCGATGGAGCCGTCCGCCAGCGTCTTGATGCGGAACACCCATTTTCCGCTGAGATTTTTTCTCCCCTTCGCAGATGTCCGGGGAACCAGCTTCCAGGTGCCACGGTTCTTGAGCGACGCGACCTCCTTGGCCATGGCTGCCTTCCATTTCTCACTGTCGGGGCCGGAGAGAGCCTGGCGAACAGTGGTGGGTTCCTTGAGGGAGGAGTGGCGAACAGCGACGGCGAGCCCAAGAATGCGGAGACCAGTTTCGTTGGTCTTTTCGTAGTGCAGGCGATCGTAGTCGTGGAAGCTGGTTACTTCGACCACGTCGTCGTCACTTTCGTGACCAGGGCGGATGGTGTCTTGCGAGGTGTTTGGTGGTGGTAACGCGGTGTCTGTTCGGGCAGAATCCTTGCCACTGCTGCTGCCTGATGCTGCCTGCCCGACGAAACTGTGCGACTCCGGGTGGTTACGAAACTGTTCGGACAGAATCCTCGCCACTGCTGCTGTCTGATCCTGCCTGCCCGACGGTCCAGATCCTTCTCGTAACCGTACGTCCCTTCGCATTACTTCCGCCCTTTCGTCTTCGACCTCGGTAGTGCGTGCTTCGCTTGCTTCGGTGAGGAGCAGGGCCCACGTTATCAGTGTAAATCACCCTGATGCCCTGACTAGAAGGGTGATTTTTGGTAGTAACACTGATGCTGTTGGGTAATTTTTTTTTAACCTTGATTTACCCTGATGTGCCAGGTTTTAAGATTAAGGAACACTGTCGCCTCAGGGTTGCCGTTCCGCTTATCGAGGTTTACCCTGAAGCTCGTACCAGCGAACCCCCCCCCTCCCCCCCACTTCCCCACCCCCCCCCCCCCCCCCGTCACCTAACCACCCGACCCCGAAACCTGGATTTTCCCTTTGCCAACTGTCGAAAATGTAGATTTCGGCAGGACTTGTTATTGTGTGCTGTGTTAATAACAACTGAAACAGGGTTTTGCAAATTGGTACACTGATGCCTCAGGGTAGTCGTTTTAGTACATGCAAAAACCCTGACGCATCAGGTTTTCCACAACGGGTAACCCTGAAAATCAGGTTTTTGAACAGGTGCTAGCAGGGCCTCAGATTCGTTTTGGGTGACCCTGAGCACTCAGGGTCCTTTGGGGCTGTAACACTGATCATCAGGGTTGTAAATGGAGAAAGACTGATTTCTCAGGGTTAAAAAAAAAAAAACCCTGACACATCAGCGTGAGTTAAAAAAAAACACTGGCGGTGAGAATCCACAACAATCAAAGGTATAATAAGTTAAGAAAGGTTCGAATATTGTTCTAATGAACTTCTAACTACACAAATCACATCACACACATGTCTTCATCTTCGTCACTATCACCATCGCTCATAGAACCGTGCCTGTGCACGGGGGTCTCTGTCCCCCACCCAGAGCCAGCACCACCAGCATCATCCTCGTCCACCTTCTCTTTCCCCTTAGCACTAGGTTGCTTTTTTGGTGCTGCCATTGTTGTGATGGGCTTGCGCTTCTTGTACGCCCTCCAGATCTTCACCACCTCCACCCAGTCGGGCTCGTACGGCCATGCACATGAGGTCCGACAGCCGCGCATCCTTGATGGCACCCCTCAGCCAGCTCTTGATGATGTTTTGACGCGAGAACCCCCGCTCGCACTCGACTGTGCTCAACGGTAGCACAGCGACAGCCATCCACAGCTTCACCAGGTTGGGGTACACGTCCTCCCAGTCGGGAGACCTCAGCATCGCCGAGAGACCCGGATAGAACTTTCTCTCGGACTTCGGGGCTCCAGCGAGAACCGTGCAGAACGTGCGGAGCTCCTTGAACGCCTTCTTCTTGTTGACACCTGGAGGGAGTCAGGGAGTGCGCAAGCACAAGGAAAAGAACAAGGTAAGCAAGGCTCACCAGACAAGTGGTGCCAGTGTTTAGGTGCTACACAACAAAGCAGCACAAACAACGATGCACAGACCGAAGGGAAGTACGTACCTGGAACGATCTCGTCGCACTCTTGGGCCCTGAAGAGCGTCGTCAGGGACTCAAGGTGCTCCGTGCAGACCATGGAACGCTCCTGCCGTCCTTGGGGCCACTCGTCGGACATGAACAGCTTCACACCGCTCAGCTTGTCGAGTGAACCCAATCGCTCATCCAGGTTATGCACGAGCGCCTCCGCCATCGCCGTGCACTGCTCCACGCATCGGTCATGGGTCCCTGCAATGGGGTAGCCTTCAAGGGGGGAATCATGCAGCACGTAGCAGTGAGAAGTGGGCCGGCCGTCGGAGTCAACCCACTCGACCTCCACTCTCCGCACCCCGGTCCATGTCGTGCAATGAAGGGCGACAGCTTCTCGCTCAGGCCGCCGCCGAAGTCGTCGCCACAATCCACATAATAGCTGTTGATGTGGGTTGTGGTGCGACGGATCTGGCCTTGAATCGCCAGCAGGTCAATCTGCCACACAAAAACAGTAGGGAAAACACAGCCAGGTTCCAATCATGAAGCAGAACTAGCCGGAGCTAGCGGCCCTAAACCCACAGTCCTCACGGCAGGTGCATGCACACAGGGATGCACAGTGTTGTTGGAATCACGGCAAAAGCAGGATCTCACCTGTCGATGCTGGAACGTCTTGCTGAGCACGTTCAGCTGTTCCAGCACGTCAGCGAGGAAGCGCAGCATGAACTGGAATCTGTAGCTTGTCACCATCTGGTACATGGGCTTGTTTCCCAGCTCGTGCACCATCACGACGACACCCGGAAGGACTGCAAGAAGTTGGCAGACTGCATCGCCGCGCGAGAGCCAACGCACATCATTGATTCCTTGGAGCTCCAGGTTAGTCTGAGTGAAGACTTCCTGAAGGTCCAGGAAGCGCTGGTGCCAGGGTCCTGATGAGCCGAGGTAGGTGGAGAGCCAGCGGATGAAGCTGTCGACCATGCCAAACTCCGGTAGGGACTCTGCCGCGTCCTTGGCCGCGAGCGCTTCCCTGCAATTAAAACAAAAAACAGTCGCATTTGGAAGGACACCATGTTCAAATAACTACACACATCGGACAGTGCATCAACCACCATACCTGTGAGCGATGCAGTGGCAGGACACCAGATGCGGAACGCGCGTCCTCAGCCTCGCCACCAGCCCGTTTTTGGATCCGACCATGACGCTCGCCCCGTCGGTGCTGATGCCCGTGATTCGGCGCAGGTCAATGTCGACGGCATTGACATGGGATAAGAGCAACGCCACCAGCGATGCGGCGTCTGCCCTGTCCACGGTTAGGAGGGCAAAGAACTCGGTGACTACAGCCCCGTCGCGGATGAATGTGGCGTAGATGATGAGATGCTTCCCACGGCATCTGTCCGTAGACTCGTCACAGCTGAGGCCGATGTAATGGCTTTGTAGGACGTGTTCCAGTTGTGTTGTCTGCAGCCACACGGCCGTTGCCTGTGTTAGTTCCCCAAAGCCGTACCTGCATAGACACCAGAAATTTTTGTTAGGCTTACGTGGTTGTGAACAAGAGAGGCTTTTCAGTGCATGCGCTTGTAAGCACTTACGTGGTGTAGTAAGTGCTTGGGAAAGCCGCGGACCTCGTTCTGAGCCATGTACCGAACGAGGCGCACCCACGTCTCCATCGGCAGATGGTTCTGGGTGGTGAAGTGAAGGGAGTTCAGAAGGGCGATGACGCGGGTCGTCTCGTCATCTTTGGCGAGCGGATGCTCGTCAATTCGCGGCTGCTTCCCAGCCTGAGCTAGCATCTGCTTCTGGTGATTGATGGCCAACTGGTGCTTGTTCGTCGCGGCATGCCGCTTGAAGGCTTGGGTCTGAAGATCGGTTGCACCGTGCCCACTCTTGCCACACTTGCCACCGTCACCTGCAAAGTCGATGCACAATCTGCACTTGAACGCAGGCATGCCAGCAGTGTTTTTGATGAGGATGAGCCATGGGTAGTCTGTCGACCACGTCGACTTGAACGTTTCCAGGGCCTCTTCGTAGATCAGAGTGGTTAGTGACGGTTTTTTAGAGTTGGATGGCGTGGGCGTAACGTGGTTTACCGACTCGCCGGCATCAGTGAGAGGACGTCCAGGATCTGTTGGATCGGCCCAACGGAGCACGGCCTGCTTGTAACGAGGCGGAGGCTTCGACGACGACGCACGAGATGGCAAGCGGACGCTCGGTCCGGCTGCTGACGGCACGGCCGGCTTAGCAGTATGCGCGGGCTGGGGGCGATCGTCTCCGCGGCAGAGGCCAGACGCTTCACCAGTGTTTGCTACTGAGGCGACGGGAGCTGGCTTCTCTTTTTCATGGGAGAGCGCGGAACAGGGTCGTCGCTAGGATTCGAGGGCGCCTGATGCATCAGACGGGCCCTTCGGGCCCGTCTGATCCATCAGATTCTGTTTTTTTACCGTGCCTGATGTATCAGATATTTTCGAAATGCATGTCTGACCAATCAAATGGGTTTCTCGACGCAATTGATTCGGACTTGACCAGTCACAGCAGAATCACCCCTCACAGCGAATTCGGCCCGTCACAGCAGATTCGCCGTCACCCTGACACAGCAGATTCGCCCTGTCACAACAATTTCGCCCCTGACACAGCAGATTCGCCCCCTGACACTAACAGATTCGCCCCCTGACACGAACAGATTCGCCTCCTGACGCATCAGATTCGCCCATTCACAACTCGAATCCCATATTCACCCCTACACAACTGGATTCGGTATCAGATGAAACCAAAACAAGAACCTGATTGATCAGATAAACTAAAAAACTACTCCTTATCAATCAGAAATTACAAATAACCAATTTCTGAAAAATCAGATGAACTCTAAGAACTCGATCTGAATATAAGGCAAACAGACAAAAAAAATCTGCTAGCGACGACCCTGGTGTCAGATTTATATGACATAGCTACTGTAGGCTATAGTGGGGTAGCACATATGGGGTACAGTTTCCTAGGGTTTACTTCTTGTACCCAACTTTCACTTAGTCTTTTATCATTCCTCGTTTCTTCTCATGGTATCGAGCAGGTTCCCTAGTGGGAACGATTCCTAGGGCCCACCACCACGAAATTTTTTTTTTTCCTGCCCGGAGCGCGTTTTGCGCCGGCCCGAGTCGCGCCGCCCTTTCGGCCCGTCGCGCCCGTCGCGCCCGTCGCGCCCGTCGCGCCCGTCGCGCCCGTCGCGCCCGTCGCGCCCATCGCCACCTACCTCCGCGGCCCCGCCACCTACCTTCGCGGCCCCGCCACCTCACTGTGCGGCCCCGCCACCTACCTCCGCGGCCCCGCCACCTACCTCCGCGGCCCCGCCACCTACCTGTGCGGCCCCGCCACCTACCTGTGTGGCCCCGCCACCTACCTTCGCGGCCCCGCCACCTCACTGTGCGGCCCCGCCACCTACCTCCGCGGCCCCGCCACCTACCTGTGCGGCCCCGCCACCTACCTTCGCGGCCCCGCCACCTCACTGTGCGGCCCCGCCACCTACCTCCGCGGCCCCGCCACCTACCTGTGCGGCCCCGCCACCTACCTTCGCGGCCCCGCCACCTTACTGTGCGGCCCCGCCACCTACCTCCGCGGCCCCACCACTTACCTTTGCGGCCCCGCCGCCTCCTCCCAGCGGCCCCGGACGCCGCCCTCTCAGCGGCCCCGCCGAGCCGCCCTGCAGCCGAGCCGCCCAGCAGCCGAGCCGCCCAGCAGCCGAGCCGCCGAGCCGCCCAGCCGCCGAGCCGCCCTGTCCGCAGCCGAGCCGCCCAGCAGCCGAGCCGCCCCGCCGCCGAGCCGCCCAGCCGCCGAGCCGCCGAGCTGCCGAGCCGCCCTGCAGCCGAGCCGCCCGAACCGCCCTGTCCGGTAAGAGCAGCGCCTCTCTCACAGCACTGCCCTCGCCCTACTGTTTGCACTGCTAGTCTACTGCTGTCATGGCTACCCCTAGTGTCCTCGCTTTTGACGCTGAGGGTCGGGCCATTGACTTTGACGTCTGGATAGATGACCTGCAGCTTTTCTTACAGTGCGACAGAGCAGACGGCCTCTCCCTCTTTGACCTCACTTCTGGTGCCTCTCCTGCCCCCGCTGCTGATGCTGACGCCACCGTTCGCTCACAGTGGGCCACGCGCGATGCTGCTGCACGTCTTGCTGTGCGTCGCCACCTCCCTACCTCTGAGCGTGCGCACTTTAGCCAGTACAAGAGTGCTCACACCTTGTACGACGCTGTAGTTGCACGCTACTCCTCCCCTGCCACTGCTGCACTGAGCCGCCTCATGCTACCGTACCTCTTCCCTGACCTTGCTGCCTTTCCCACAGTCGCTGACCTCATTACGCACCTCCGCTCTAGTGACACTCGCTACCGCGCTGCGCTTCCTGCTGAGTTCTGCGCCAAGAACCCCCCCCCCATGTACATCACCCTCTACTACATAGTCACCCGTCTCCCTGACTCCCTTCGCGTAGTCAGGGACCACTTCCTCTCGGTTTGTCCCACCACTCTCACCGTTGACCTCCTCGAGAAGGCCCTCCTAGCAGCAGAAAAGAGCATAGTCGCTGTAGGAGCCTCTCGTGGTGACCCTCGCACCCCCATCTTTGAGGGGTGTTCCCCCTCCCCTCTTTTGCCCTCTGTTGCCTCTGCTGCTGCGGCCGACCTCGCTGGTTTGGAGTCGGTTGGGGCAGCGTCTACCCCTAGCGGGAGACGCCGCCCTGGCAGGGGCAAGGGGGGCAGGGGCGCTGGAGGAGCTAGCGGGGGCGGTGGAGGCGGCGGTGGAGGTGGTGGAGGAGGTGGGGGTGGCGGTGGGAGTGGTGGCGGGGGTGGAGGTGTAGGTGGCGGCAGTGGAGGCGCAGGAGGCAGCGGCGGTGGCGGAGGGAGCGGAGGTGGCGGCGGTGGAGGAGGAGGCGGCGGAGGAGGTGGAGCTGGTCGGGGTGGCGCTGCGCAGAGGGTCAGCTCCGGTGGTGGTCAGCGCCAGCAGCAGCAGCAGCAGCAGCAGCGCACTCGTGACGTCCCCTCCCCTCAGCAGCTCCGTGAGTGGTACACTGCACGCCAGAGGGGTGGGGGTGCTGGTCCGTGCACCTACGTCCTGCGCACCGGCGACCGCGCGGGTGAGCAGTGCGGGGGTGCGCACTCCACCCAGCGCTGCTTTGGCCGCCTCACGGACGCTTGGCGTCACCAGTTCCCTGAGGCCACTGAGATCCCCCGCTGGGGTGAGCTGTCTAGGGCGGGTGTAGCTGTCTTTGACCTTGACTTTGATGCTATTCTTGCTGCCGTGTATACTGTGACTATTAGTGATGAGGGTGACTGTTACCGGTGTTTTCCGCCCGACCCGGGCATTGAGACTGCTGCTCTAGGTACTGGTGAGGCTGTTGCTCTAGGTGCTAGCGAGGCTGCTGCTCTAGGTGCGTCTGCTCCCTCAGGTGCTGGTGAGTCTGCTCTCTCAGGTTCTGCGTCGGCTTCGGCCTCCCACACCTTCACACTTGACTCGGGGGCTTCTCGCTCCTTCTTTCGAGACCGCACCACACTCACGCCGCTTTGCCGGCCAGTTGCGGTCTCCCTGGCAGATCCCTCTGGGGGTCCTGTCCTTGCTCACTTCTCCACTGTCCTCCCGTGTCCGGCGGCCCCCTCTGGCACCCTGTCTGGTCTCTACCTCCCCTCGTTCTCTACGAACTTGGTGAGTGGTGCTGACCTACAGGATGCGGGGGTTCACCAGTTCACTCCTGCGAGTCAGCGGGTGACCCACTGCACGGACGCTCGGACAGGCCGCCACCTGGCCACGTTTACACGTCGGCCAGGGTCGAGCCTGTACACACTGACCACTGCGTCTCCTCCAGTCCCTGCGTCTGGTCAGGTAGCTGCGTCGGGTCAGGTGTTTGCTGCAGCGTCCAGGTCTGGTCCTGAGTCTGCCCCCTGCTCGTGTCGCCTCCTGTCTCACGAGACTCTCCTCTGGCACCACCGCCTTGGCCACCCCTCCCTG